ACACTTGAGATATGCCCAGCAAATCTCAATCATATTGAGATCAGGCGAGTTTCCTGACCAAATAAGTCGTTGTATATTGGCAGCGTCAAAGTGTGGCCGTTGATGTTGAGATGCATGAGATGGCGCCTTGTCTTCCATGACAACAACATTAGGGACACCGGCATGCTTAAGAGCATCAGCGAAAGGCAGAAGCTTCTGCAAAAGAATGCAGTTGAGATATCGATACCAATCAATACCACCTTTAGAGGTTCGGACAAATGCTCCATTGTCTGCATTGAACCTCCACCGTGGCTTTGGACCAGGCTTGGTACCCCTAAGTGCCATTTTTTTGTCCCATTCAGCCTTAGCCTCTTGCTCAATAGCATTGTTCATACAGGTGATATCCTTGTTGGCAGTTCTCTTCTCCTCAGCCGTTTCAGTCTTCCAAATATGACAGGGCCCCTTGAAGTCATAGGTAAAACAGCCCCAAAACATGAACTCTGAATATCCCTTCCATCTCTCTCTGATGCAGGATTTAACACACCGCTCGTTAGGACGTCGCCATACTCGAAAACTACCTCGCCGATGGCCTAATAGGACAAAAGTCACATTAGTCTATATTACAGACTTCCAATCTTCAAGCGTCCAATGTTCATATTGTTTAGCAAACAGATACCTGGCCACCTTCATATCTTTAGTGAGGCCGGGTTTTCTTGTGGGCTTTGTTTTGCGGAATTTCTTTCTGTGGACAATCCGGAATACGCTTTGAGATGAGATATGAAACTGCAAGCCAAGCTAGACAAGTGTCTTCTCCCGACCATACCGATCCTTAGTGACTGCATCCACAATAGCCTGCTCCACTGCAGGAGTGATCTTTTTTTTCCTCCCACAGCGATCCTTATTCTGGACGTGCTCTATTTTTAATAAGGTGCCAGGCTCCCACCCCCTTTGCTGTGCTTCATTATAGAGATTCCGGACATGTCTTGGAGTTATTCCAGTTGCTGAATAATGGCCAAAGCCTCTCCCATAGATCGCAAGATCACCGCCTGAGCGCGAGACACAATATCAAACATACTAATTGAGTTATTGGGGAGTGCTCGATTGGAAGGTTTGGGGGTACTCGATTGGCAGATTCGGAGGTGCTCTATTGGCAGATTCGGGAGGCTCAATTGGCAGATTCGGAGGTGCTCGATTGGCAGATTCGGGAGGTGCTCGATTGGCAGATTCGGGAGGTGCTCGATTGGCAGATTCGGGAGGTGCTCGATTGGCAGATTCGGGAGATGCTCGATTGGCAGGTTTGAGGGTACTCGTGGCAGCTCGATTGGCAGATTCGGGAGGTGCTCGATTGGCAGATTCGGGAGGTGCTCGATTGGCAGGTTGGGGGGTGCTCGATTAGGGAGGCTGGAGGGTGCTCGATTGGCAGGTTCAGGGGGTATGCGATTGGAGAGTTGATATCTAAGGAGGTCAATACAAGCAATTTAAGAGGGCAGAGAAACTTGATGAAGGGAAAGAGTTGGGGAAGGGCTCATATATAATGAATTCCATAGTTAGAGCAGAGTTATATTTGACCAATTGAGCCCTCGGTGATATCTGGTAAATTGAGAGGTTGGACAGTGTAAGAAAGTAAGACAGCTGATGATGTGGTTGAGGCTATAGCACTGAGACTATATGCGTAAATATGCGTGAATGCCCATGCATATGCCAAGTATTCATGCATGCATGGCGCTGCATATGCAAGTCCCAGATAGGAAAGGGGAAAAGACTTTTGTTCTGCACCTCCGTATTGAGCGATGGATTAATTGAGTAAGCAAAGGACTGAGTGATTGAGCAGGTGCAGGGTTGGGTGGTTGAGCAGGCGGAGGTTTGAGCTTTGTTATGTATAAAATAATAGACTCGGTTTCCACTCAATTTGCCTTCATACATTGCCTAGAGTGTACATACAGTGCAATCGCGAGCCCAGATATAAATCTATAGATATATACAAGACGTCTAGTATCAATATTTAGTATACCACCCCTCCGCCTTAATAACAGCAGCAACACGGTGTGGCATGGATCTAGTTAGTGAATCTAATAGAGATGAAGGTACTTCTTTCCATGCCTCCTGCAAACATTCAGCTATTCGCTTTTTAACAGTTGCTGGTCCCCCAGGATATGAAGCGAGATCTGGAAATTTTTGATGAAGTATCTTTTTCAGATATCGCCAGACATGTTCAATGGGGTTCAGGTCCGGAGAACAAGCTGGATGATCTGCCACTTCCCACCCTTCATCTTCTAGCCAACCTCGAGTAAGGTATGAGGTATGAATAGATGAATTATCTTGCATGAACACTGGGTTAGAAATACCAGCAGCTTCCATATCATCCTTAACTAGAGGTAAGAAGGCCTCAAGAATCTCAATATATCGTTCAGAATTATTCCGGCCCACTAGCATAGGATAAATGTATCCTAATGTAGACCCCCAAAAGCATCCCCATATCATCAAACTAACTTGTTGCCCAGTTCTATTATTTGTATTAGTTTGAATACTCTAAATCTAAAAGTAAAGGATTATATATACCTGCTTCCATCTGCAATCCCAACCTTATTAGGATCTTCTCCTTCTTTGCGCCATACCCACTTCACAGTACCATGTTTATTTTTTTCCACGGTGCATTCATCACTCCAGATATAATTAAGCCACTGCTCTTCTGTCCAATCTTCACGCTCTAGTGCCCACTTTAAACGAGCAGTAGCATGTGCAGCTGTTAACTTAGGTCGCTTTCGAGCTATCCATTTCCGATATCCTTTGCCTTTCAGGTATCGGCTTAAGGTGCGTGGGTGAACTTAACAAGGTTGGTATCAACATTTTGCTGAAGAGATAGCTTAGATATTGAGCGATCTCCTTCAATAATATCAATTATTTGAGCACCAATTGTATCGGTTATTTTCGGAGGTCGACCTTTTCGAGCTGCATTTTTGTGATCTTGATCTCGCTTAGCATACCTATCTATTAAATTAGTAGCTTTCCTTTATGCTTGTTCTAGCAAAACTAAGATATACCGCTTAAGAAAAGACCGGACAGTAGCTTCATTCCGCTCCACCTGCTTCCCAATTTGTCTATTTGATGCACCACATATATTCATGCCCACAATAACCCCCTTTGTGAAATCATCAAGCTCTCCCTTTGACCGCCCTTGCGGTCTAGGTGCAGTTGGCACTGGAGTTGTATCGGCTGGGTCTAGAGCTGGGTCTGGAGCGGACATCGATGCCATGTTGATTGATGTTGAAGCACAGGAAGAGTCATGTAATCTTGACCCCACTTTATGCCTTTATTCAGGCCACCTGTTTCACCGCGTACTACTGCATGTCTTACCACGTCTCTGCATATTATGCAGGGGGGGTGCGTGAACACTTTCCCCCACGCACTGTATATTTGCCATTCCGGAACGCCCCTGTATTTCCGCAACGGACAAGAACATATATACAGCTTGCTTTCTAGCTATATTTCGTTTCTACTAATACAAGGAACTCACTCCTACCGTTATATACTTCCCTCATTGTGACCAGGTCTTGGTTAGACCACTTGTTGAATCGAGATAATCGGTCGATTGATACGAGCAGGACAGAGAGGCATGATTCAGCGAAGGTTAACATCGGTCGACGAAGGGAGCAATCGGACGATGGCAATTGAGAGGAAATGGGTATGGCTATAGCTAAGGAACTACCCTACAGCTGATGAATGAAACGCGAAATTCCAGCGCTTATATACTTTAGCTTTTTCCCTTTTTGGGGGGAGGGAGGGAGGGGTTCCGGGTGCCGCAGTACTTACATTTGGTTTGCAATTACCCGGATATTGAAGTTTAGAAAAGTTCCAGGGAGATAAAACACTTCTACCTCATACTACAGAGTGCTGTCAAGCTGTGTACTAGATGGATATATTACAATTTTATCGATGAACTTATGTAGACTCATCTAGTTACCCTCAATCCCCCATTTCAATCCCCTGCAATCCACTGCTATCGCGATTGCTTGGTCAACTTACAGTGCATAGTCACACCGCGTGGCCAAGATTATGTCAGATGCAAAAATGACTTGGCCCAATGAGTTTCAAGGGTTATATGCGGTCTCAGGAGGCGAGTCTTGTTCATGCCTCATCACCAGCAAGATCAATATCGTTAAACATACATACTCCGCCTCATACACCCACTCCCACAACACCCAAATGAAGCACCACTCTCACATCCAACGTCACACCTCCACCTCTCCCCCCACCCTCCGTCAATCTGCCATACAAAAGTCCCAAGCACAACTAGAGAAAGAAGCCACTGAAGCCGCGAGAAAGGAGGAAATTCGCATGGCGGTTGCGCAGGGAAAAATGGCGAGGAAGAAAGTCAAAAGTTGGTCGACGAAGCCGAAGAAGGTGGGGAATAAGATGGTTAGGGCACCGGGGGTGAGGCGGTTGGACATTATGGGTGAGTGGGTGGAGGAAGGGCAGGAAGAGAAAATTTAGAAGAATCCTGGGAGCTAGTCTGAATTTTCTTACAGTTTTCAGGCAGCAGATGTAGTACCTATCAAACTAAACATCCCACATGCATAAAAGCACAATTACATGTATACAATTGCAAAGTTAAAATGACTTCCTCGTAGCAGGGACCTACCACTCACACCATCCCATACCCAGGGTGGCTCTATTGTATCTTATATTTCCCTTTAGATAAAAGCGTAGTTCGAGTCACTAATGTAGAACTTGATATTTTACTTTTACCTGAGAAAACTGATGTGAATCGAAACTTACCAGCTATAGCAAAACTGTTATTGGCCAATACTTCCATGTGCTTTAGTAGTCTAGCGCTACAGACATCCAAACATGAGGCGCCACAGGTGAGCTAGTGATGGCATGGACTAGGAGTTTGCGACTTTTTATTAAGATGGCAGTGGAGGTGTGGCATCGAATGTTGCGGATAGCTCACTTGTAATGAGGGAGTTACCACCTTCCACCTGTTTGAGAGCAAGGTAAGAGGAGAGCAAGTACCTCAAAAAGGCACAGTGGTCTAATGGTAAGACTCCCGCTGCGTAGATACCTGCTGATTGTAGTCTGGTTGGCACAACTACGAGAGGCTTGTGCCAAGCAGACTAGCTGATTGCATGCAGAGGGTGGGGATCTGGGTTCAATTCCCAGCTGAGCAATTATTTTTTGGGCCCTATCATCCCCACTTATCTTTTACTACGCCGAGGCTCCAGAAGCCTCTGAAACTTGCATGGCAACCCAATGATATCGCGAAAACCACCTTGACTTGAAAAATTTACAACGCAACCACTAATATTTTCATTGGTATAAGCATTGAGATTGGATGGCGGGAGCTTCTGGGAGACCACCAGACCCAGTATGATACTGGCAACATTTTCCAGTCTTCTTGAGGGATAGTGAGACTGCGGCGCCCTAATCCCCCTCCCTTGAGGCACAGCCCCTGGCGCCTTCGACCCTTCCCTTGCAGCATATCCCCCCGCTGCATGGTGTCGAGCCCGCTTTTGTTTCCGGGTTTTGCCAGAATCATGCCAACGCGCTATAGCTATATCTAGCTTTCCCTCAAGAGCTACACCTCGTTCAAGAGTTTAAGCCTCCTAGGTAAGCTAGACATATATGTCTGATAAGCAATTATACCCATACTGTGGGCAATTCCCACTAATCAGTGGTCATTATGCTAGGCATCTCGAAGCCAAGCACCAAACACAGCTCTATGCAAACGCCCTAAGACACCATACAGTACTCAATCTGCGGACCAACCTGCGCCTGCTAACGAAACGGTCAATGATCATATGCACGGCGAAGGGCCTAGTGTAGCAGCGACGCCATTATGAGCTAAGAAGATCATCGATTCTGTGGGGGTAAATGACGGGGATTCAGGGCCGGCAACGCTAGTGGCAAGGACTATGGACGGGCTCAGGGAGCGCTACTGTGACCAAAGGCTATAATAAGAGGTTCAAGGAGGAACGATATGTATTTAGCACGGCTAAGATACAGGACGTTGCGTGAAGGAGAGAGAAGGACAGGAAATGCTCCGCCTTATATACATAATTCCCTACCCACTGTTGCCAGCACCCAGCCCTCCCACGCCCTCGATCGGGCCTATGAGGGTTAGGGCCGTGACACGTTGGCGTCTATGTTGGGATCGGTGGATGAGGATGAAGAGGAGGTAGAATTGATTGATTGATCGAGAGTTAATTGACTGGGATTGGGAGTTGACGAATTTTTGGTTTATGAGGGGATATATTCTCACATGAAGCTACGTGCCTCACAGTGTACTGAAAGCAGTGCAGTAGGATTTAAAATGTGAATCTGGAAAAGCAAAGTTCTCGTTTAGTAGTGTGTGTCATGCATTATCCAGTTATTATGGAGGCAAAAGCCTGGCAAGACCCAGCAACCTGTTACACGGAACGTAGAGCATTCTGTCATTGAAATTTTGAAACCAGTCTTAAGCCTAGGCACTTTGAGGATGCGATTATACTCGACTATTTGAGAGAGAATAAGCGAGGTGAATTGAGGTGGAATTACGATAAGGAGATGGGGAGACATGGAGTTGTGGGGAACAGGGGTATTGGTAGCCTGAAGTTAGAGAAGTCGTGGAACAGTGGAGGAGGGGCTCAGCGTTTGGGGATTTGGGTTGATGGTCGTATTTATATAACGTTAATGGATACAACATATTTTGGGAGAATTAATCCGATAATTCAACTTGACACCTTCCCTAACTACGTTGTTTAAATCCTTGAATAACCTAATGAGATAACAAAGGAAATACTATACAACCGACATTTCATGACACACGCAGCTCAGCCCCTTCACATGTGATACCTTCATCGTTTACCTGCCGTGTCAGAATATTTTCTTTCACTCCTCCACCAATTCTCAGTGAATCACTCCCTACCAGCATCTATAAATCCTTTCCATCTTACAAAAACATCCCCTGTTCCTAATCTGTCTCACTATACTAGTAATCCACTAAGTGTTCCACCCTCTTGTACTTTAGTTCAACCCTATAGCGCTGTGTTAACTACGCAATAAGATAGTAATACGTAGTCACTATGGATATTCCCGTGTAATAGGGATAATATCTTAGAGAGAAGACCTATTTGGCGTTCAGCAAGACTACCTGAGTTTGATATAGCCAAGTGAGAGTGAGATATATGTAGTGATGAGCGTATATGTGATCCTATGATGGACCTCCAGCCTGCGTGGCAAAAGGATGTATACTAAGTAAGCATAAGCCTCGGCAGAAATCACTACATACTTAGGTAACTTGCCATCAGACATAGTTCTTGGCCATGCACAACATATACTGTCGCAAGACCTACTTAGTAACTAGAGACCTGGTGTTGACGTCAACAAACTTAGGATTTCCGAGGCCTAGCACGTCACTATTCTAGGAAATTACACCACAAAGCACAAATAAAATCTAGCAGGGCAGCTGTCGAATCTTACAGCAATTGCAGCATTCCAAAATGTCGAACCCAGAGTATACCCAAATACGAGGTACGTTGACATAGAATGCTATATAACTGGTCAATGACTCTTGCATAGCTGACCAGAATTCACTTCAAGTTACCGAGCCTGGCACTACTCAGCTTACCCGGCTAGAGAAATTATATCTGGCCACCCACGGTATGACCAATCCTATATCCCATAAATGGTTCCTGTATAGCGCTGCTGATCAGAATTGTCCTCGCCACTTCAGGGATACCCAATTCCAGGCTTAGCACTATTTATCCTACCCGACTAGAGACACTATACAGGGCAGCCGCTGACAGCATAATCGCCAGCTCCCCTGCAAACGAAGTAAACAAATATGAGGATACCTCCACGTACTTTCAAGGCATCGATGCAGCCCTAGGTCTTCCGACTGAGGACCTCGATTTGAATTATACTTCAAACCCAGTAGCAGGTATTCCAACCGCCGCCCCGCAAGTGGTCTACGCTACACTCCAGCTGCAGTCCCCTAGTTCAAGTGATGAGGAGGAACTAATGGATGGTGAAGAGGGCGCGGGTGATGGCAAAGAGGAAAATAAAGAAGAGGCAAGCGACGGAGAAAACGAACAGGCAAGTAATTACTAAATGGAGGAGTGTGATAATGAAGAGGAGGGGATTAATGATGAAATCGAGGTGAGCGATAATGCAATTGAGGCAAGCAATGATGTTTAAGAGGGGGCGAGGAAAGCGATGAAGAGGAAAGCGTAGATGAAAGGAAGGAAAGCGATGATGAAGATTGCGGCTGGTGAATTTGGATTAAATGCAACGCCCACAAATGTCAGTGGAATATTTATTGTTAGCCTGTCGACAAACAGCGGAGTATTTCCCACATATGGCATAACTTGCGTATCGAGGCATGTGATTCGAAACTTCATTCAAAAGTTAGGCGTGCCCGGCTTAGTGCATGAGACTACTTAGTTATGGCTATGCTTGTTTATCATCTCCCCAAGGATTTCTTGTATAAGTTTTGTGATTATCATGGAAGCCTTGTAAAAGCTGATGTGGGATAATAAGCCACGCACGACTTTTTGACGGCAGAGCCAGGGTGGCCATGTCATTTGCCGGACAGAGTGCGCCTGCCCCTGGGAATGTGTGAATACCTCCATGTTATCTTGCTGCGCCGAGAACTACATCGGCAGGTGCAGGGAAGAGTAGTCTGGTTGCACGTCAGAAGGCAGATTTCCACAGCTTTGAAAGGACCTTACCAGAAACCAGAACAACGATGAAAACAATGCCGCGGTTGAGAAAATGCTGATGATAGCCAGTTCCCCATTCTCGCATAGCTGGGATCAAATGCGCCACGGCAGGCATACTGCGCATAATCCCGCAGAGAGGAGGTGTGAAGGGCGGTCGTGAAAACGATGAGGGGAGGGCCAACGCAGCTGCGGAATACAGCAGAAGGGTGGAGCGCACTAGCAGAGCCGTCGCGCAGTTGTGAGCGAGTCAAGCAGTCACGGGGCGCCAGCAAAGCAGTTCAGAACGCATCGGAGCAATCGCGCACAGCGGAGTAGTCGCCGAAGGGTTGAATACTGCAGCGGAAGTGTGAGGCGCAGTCGCAAAAGGCAGCGGAGCAGTCGCGCACAGCGGAGTAGTTGCGGAAGGGTGGAATACTACAGCGGAAGTGTGAAGGGAGACACAGAAGGCAGCGGAGCAGTCGCGAGTAGTCAGGGAAGGGTTACAGAAGGCAGCGGACCAGTCACGCACAGCGGAGTAGCCGCGGAAGGGTTGAATACTGCAGCAGAAGTGTGAAGCGCAGCCGCAGAAGCTTCGCGCTGTCATGGCACTCAGTACAGAACGCAGCGGAAGTGTGACGCGCAGTCGCAGAAGGCAGCGGAGCAGTCGTGCACAGCGGAGTAGTCGCGGAAGAGTGGAATACTACAGCGGAAGTGTAAAGTGCAGCCACAGAAGGCAGCGGAGCAGTCGCGCACAGCGGAGAGTGAAGCGCAGTCGCAAAAGGCAGCGGACCAGTCATGCACAGCGGAGTAGTTGCGGAAGGGTTGAATACTGCAGGGGAAGTGTGAAGCGCAGTCGCAGAAGGCAGCGGAGCAGTGGCGCACAGCCTAGGGGGTGGAATACTGCAGCGGAAGTGTGAAGCGCAGCCGCAGAACGCAGCGGAGCTTTCGCGCTGTCATGACCCTCAGCACAGAAGTTGGCGCGCACAGCGGAGTAGCCGCGAAAGGGTTGAATACTGCAGCGCAAGTGTGAAGCGCAGTCGCAGAAGGCAGCGGAGCAGTGGCGCGCAGCCAAGGGGGTGGAATTCTGCAGCGGAAGTGTGAAGCGCAGTGGCGCACAGCCAAGGGGGTGGAATCTGCAGCGGGAGTGTGAAGCGCAGCTGCAGAACGCAGCGGAAATGTTGAATAATGCAGCGGAAGTGTGAAGTGTTAAAGCGCACACCCGTCGCCACCGCCGTCGCCACTACCACAGCAACTACAATATTCCGCCACTTTGCACACGCAAGTATCGCACGTTTCACGCATACGCTACTATCGGACGTTCTCACACGCAGGCTCGCATGCCTGGTTGCCACCCCGCAATCCTTGTATTCTCTTGCTTCTGATTGGCCGAATAATACATACCTGCGCCTTGTCTTACCCTGAATTTCCACGTATATTGACCACGCTCCGTTTAAGAAATTAAGCAAGTCATCGCTCGCATCGTTCACTTC